TAACTCTTTGTTTTTGTAAACCCTACTGCAAGTTGACTAGATATGAGTATGTTAGTATCACAACCCTTAAATCACCATCACCTTCACTCACTGCATATGTTGCTCTCAGCAATTGAAATGATTTCAAATCTTATCATGCATGAAATTAAGGCTGACTAAGAACTGTATACTTTCTCTGACTTACCTACAAATCCAACTCTACAAAACATTTAGAATTGGGAGATGAGCTCTATGTAGAAGAATGTAGCCTCAGGGTTAGAGGAAGACTCAACAGCCTGCTTTGTGCAGATGGTACAACTTTGCTTGCTAAAAGTGAAGAGAACTTGAAAGACTTGCTGCAGATCCAACTATAATCTTCAATTAGGATTGAATCTCAGCATCAAGGGGGAAAAAGCCTCACAATTGAAATAATAGGTAACCCTATGATAGATGAATAGAAGATCCAAATTGTCAGTGATCTGTTCTTGCTTGGATCCACAGTCAGCACCCCTGGTAAGAGCAGTCAGGAAATCTAAGGACATGTTGCAATGGGAAGAATCCACTGTCAATGTAAAGACTAAATTGTGCATATTCAAACCATGTTTTTTCAATTGCTCTTTGTCTAGCTGAAAGCTGAACAATGAATAAGGATAACAGAAGAACTGATTCCTTTGAATTCTGGTGTTGGTGAAGAGTGATGAATATTCTATGGACTATAAAAAAAATAAAGTCTCTCTTGGAGGAAGTGCAATCATTGTGTTCCTTAGAATGGTGAAACTTTGTCTCACATACTTTGCACATGTTTTCAGAGGGGGCTAGTCCTGGAAAACAGACATCATGATGCAGGGAAAGGTGGTGGGTCAGAGAAGGAGAAGACGACCCTCAATAAGATGGACTGACAATGGGCTTGAGGATATTAGAGACAATGAGGATGGCACAGGACAAGGCCAAGTTCAGACATTGATAGAACACCCAAGAACTGGGGACTGATCTAGATAGACCAGTGAGCCCTGTAAAATGGGTTATCTGGCTTTTATCTGATGTCCAATTTTAGACTCACATCTGGACTTTATTGTGGGTTTTTTTTTTTTTGGAAGCAGAGTAACACTTTAACTTGTGAAAGAAGGCAGAAGAAAGTGGATGGTGCAGCAACTGCAGACTTCAATGTACTAGCTTCAGACAGTTTAGAGGAGAGCAAGAAAAATACACCCAAATGTGCAATTACTACTGTGAGTGTCAAGGAGGGCTTTACCTAGAGAAAGAGGATGTGAAGATATAGTCCACTGAAAGCATTATGATTTTGAGAGGGAATTAGAGCTTCATAGCATGATGAAAATTACTGACAATTAAGAACCTGGTGGGGTTTGGGGAGGTGCAGGGGGGG